TTAAAAAACCATTTTAGTCTCTCGGGTCCTTAAAAAAAATCAAAATAATCCCATTGTTGGATTATTTTGATTCATCTTTAAGGAGTTGAGGGATTAACATGATCTTTTAATATAGGTAGGGACCATTTTGGTCTTTTATAAAGAGTCAAGGGGTCATTTTGATCTTTTTTTATTTATCTCTGGATTAGTTGACTTTTATCTTTTTGTGTGTTTGTGGATGTAGGTGGGTCTCATTGAATCTTGTAAACTATGGTATTCTTTTTCTAGTCTTCTCCTTATTAATTTTTTTCTCGTTCTTATATGCATTATTTCTCTTGGGCTCACGCATGTCCCCAACTATTAGCATCAGAGTTAGATTTACAGAATATAGAAAAGAGATGGTAATGGCATATGGGGATGAGAAGTTGAGCATTGATTGATTTCGAGTCCTAGAAGATGTAGATTAAGGATTACCTATATCAATGAGAATTACTTCTGCCTCTCTTTTTGTTGATGTTGACAGCCGTAACTTGATAAGATTGGATCTCTTGGACATGCATGTGGTGGGAATTGTAAGCTTCTTACTGACAAAGAAACAAGAATGTTGCATTTAGCATATTGCATGAGAGGACTATGGGCGATGTGAAAGCTTTGTTAAACTTGTATGAGAAGCCTTCGATGACAAACAAGGAATATTTGATTAAAAACTGTTTATCTCAATATGGTTGAAGGCTCTTCCACAACGACGTATATCAATGATTTTAGTTTGATTACAAATTAGTTGAGCTCGGTTGATAGCAACTTTGATAATGATGTTTATGCATTGAGCTTCTTACCACCACTACTAGAAAGCTGGGTTGGAAATGTGACACTTGTTAGCAATTCATACATGTCTAGAATGTTGAAGTTCAATAATATCCACGGCATGACCTTAAGTGAGGATGTTAAAATGCGAGACTCAAATTAATATCCATTTACTGAACCTTGAGAGTAGGCAAAGAAATACAATAAGCAAAATTGGAGGTAGATTTGAATCTCAATATTGAAGCCAATCGAACAGTTGTGGCAGTGTATGCTAGTGATGTAGCATGGCTAACTATATGAAAAGAGACTTTCCATAGAGGAATGATGAACAACATTTGAATTATATGGGGACTCTATGAATGCTGAAAGTGAAAAAAAATCTATTATGCATTGGTCTTTTTAGAGAAAATTCTTATGTAGTCTTAGATCTCAGACTCAAGGGCATATTTTCATTCAACTCTATGTAAAGGGCTTATAATGAATTATTTTGTAGGAGGTTGCAGGAAAATTTGTCTTCTTGATGAAGAACTCTTGAATGTTATGGAAGTTGATGTGCAAATCTTGACTAGCAATGAAACTTGATAAGTGTAAATTATAATATATTTTATGTGTTAATTTGTTAGTGAAAACATGTTGTCTTAATTGTGTTTGTATAGAAAAATATATGAAATTGACAAAATTTTCAAGTATGGTATAGCGCCACGATGTCGGACACATTACCGCCGCTGCGCCATCATTGACACCGCCGAAACGCCTGAATTTGGACATGGCGATGCCCAGCCTTTGTTTGACAACACCGCAGCGTCGGAGGAGTCAGCGCTGCAAAGCCCAACCAACTATCCCAGTGCCGCAACGTCAGAGGTGTTAGCGCCGCAAAGCCCAGTCTATGTTTATACAGTGCCGCGATGCTAAATTTCAGCAACACTAAGTCAAGAGAGTGCCACGTGGACGTCGCAGTGCCGCAACGCTACAGTTGTAACTGTTTAGGCCACGATCTGCCAGCAAAGTGACGCGTCAATTTATTAAACAATGGGTCCATGTTAGCAAACGCCGCAGTAGAGGAAACCCTTCAGCGCTGCGGCGTTAGTTCATTTTATGGGCACCGCGGTGCAAGTGTCTCGAGAGCCACAGCGCCATAATCTATTTTCTGCGTTTTTCTATGAATAGTTTGTTTGTAATATTAGTAGAGGAGTTCAGTCTCTTGTTTAATTTCAATCTTTATTGTGCTTTTCTGATTTTTCCTTAGGAGTAACAACTAAGAGAATTCAGAGAAGTACTAGATACATTTCATTAGAGTGCTTGGCTTGTGATTGTGGATAATTTAATGATGTTTATAATATACTAGGTCTTCATTTAATGCACATAACGATCATATGTGTATTTAATATCAGGTGTAATGTGGAGCATAAGAATAGGAAATTAGGCAAAACCAAGTATATTGGATTGGTATGATGCAAGCATAGGCTTAATACTTGTCATGTATCAAATTTATAGAGATGAATTGTCATGAGGGACTTTTAATAGCACATGCTTTACTTACTATTCTAATTTTCATGAGGTGACAACCTATGGGAGTTTAGAGTGGTATTGAGGTTGGAAGAGTTTAATCTGTCCTTTTGTCTTTTCACGTTTGACTAAGCGGTCAGTGATGCATATGCTCTAAATAACATCAATATAAAATAGAATCATTAGGAAACATATTATATTTATACTCATCAATCCAAAATAATTTATCCAAATAGTATTTTATTTAATTGTTTTTTTATTTTAAATTAAGTGATTGAATCTTCACCAAAATTTATTTTAATTGAGTAGGATAATTGTTGTAGTTGAAATAAACAATACTAGTATTTGTAAGTAAACATTTTTCCTCGTGGGATCGATACTCTACTTTATCACTATATTGCTTGATTCGGCACGTATACTTGCGTATATTGAAATTTTTATAATTTTTATATCAAAGAAAACCGAAGCATTGTTTAGGGATTGATAGAGCCCTAATTTATTTTTACAATTCTTTAGGTTACACCTCCACTCCCATTAACTATGTGGAAGCTTCACAATGTAAGGCTTATTCTTGACTTAAAGAGGAACTTGATCACATTATGGCTTGATGAAGAAGCTTATATCTCAATCTTCTATGCTAATTCTTGGAAGGTGAATAAGGGTGCCATGGTGATAGCATATGGAAGAAAAGGGTGGTGTCATACTGTCATGTACATGATATCCAACACCAAATATTGGAAACAACAAATAAATCTAATACTAGTGCTTTTGGAGGTGCAATGTTGGATAACATTTTTCAAGTTGGTGCTTACAAAGGGAAAATGGCATTGGAAGGCAAATAATAACTGTTTAGGCCACAATCTGCCAGCAAAGCGACACGTCAATTTATTAAACAATGGGTCCATGTTAGCAAGCGCCGTAGTAGAGGAAACCCTTCAGCACTGCGGCGTTAGTTCATTTTATGGGCGTCGTGGTGCAAGTGTCTTGAGAGCCACGGCGCCATAATCCATTTTTTGTGTTTTTCTATGAATAGTTTGTTTGTAATATTAGTAGAGGAGTTCAATCTCTTGTTTAATTTCAATCTTTATTGTGTTTTTCTGATTTTTCCTTAGGAGTAACAACTAAAAGAATTCAGAGAAGTACTATATGCATTTCATTAGAGTGTTTGGCTTGTGATTGTGGAAGCAATTTCGTAACTTTAAGGAGTGTAGAGATCATTGAACCCATCCGACAATATCTTTTCTTTTGTACTTTGTTTCTTTAATATGCTTCACTTATTTTTTTTTTGTCTGGTTAAATTTTTTAATTTTGGATTGATGGTGTAAATAATATATGGATTATTATTGAATTCTCTTCATCAATAATTTAATGATGTTTACAATATACTAGGTCTTCATTTAATGCACATAACGACCATATGTGTATTTAATATCAGGTGTAATGTGGAGCATGAGAATAGGAAATCAGGCAAAACCAAGTATATTGGATTGGTATGATGCAAGCATAGGCATAATAATTGTCATGTATCAAATTTATAGAGATGAATTGTCATGAGGGGCTTTTAATAGCACATGCTTTATTTACTATTCTAATATTTTCATGAGGCGACAACCTATGGGAGTTTAGAGTGGTATTGAGGTTGGAAGAGTTTAATCTGTCCTTTTGTCTCTTCACGTTCGACTAAGCGGTCAGTGATGCATATGCTTTGAATAACATCAATATAAAATAGAATTATTAGGAAACATATTATATTTATACTCATCAATCCAAAATAATTTATCCAAATAGTATTTTATTTAATTATTTTTTTATTTTAAATTAAGTGATTGAAT